CCCCAGTTTTTACTCCCTATAAACCAGTATTTAGTCCCCTTTTCAGTCCTTCCCCCATCCCAGCCCCTCCAGGACAAAGGTCTGCCCAGAAAATCACCTTCCAACATGGAACAAAGAGAGTTTTCCCTCCTTGCTCCCGGCTGCCAGCAGGCACCTGGATATTTTCCAGGTGGCTGAGCAGAATTCCAAGGAGGATTTGCTCCCTGATCTTTGTCACCAGGTCAGGCTTTTAAAGCCCAACGTCCCCTCAGGCCACTTCACTGAACAGCAGCAAGGAATCCATTCATTCCAGTGAGCATGGAATGGTTTGGCTTGGAAGGGAGAGGAAAGATCATGGAATTCCAACCCCCTGCCAAGGGCAGGGACACCTCCCACTATCCCAGGTTGATCCAACCTGGCCTTGGACACTTCCAAGGATGGAGCAGCCACAGCTGCTCTAGGAATTCCATTTCAGACCCTCCGCACCCTCCCAGCAAAGAATTCCTTCCCAATATCCCATCAAAAGCTCCCACGTTTCAGTTTGAAGCCATTCCCTGTGTCCTGTCCCTCCATCCCTTGTCCCAAGTCCCTCTCCAGCTTTCCTGGAGCCCCTTTAGGCCCTGGAAGGGGCTCCAAGGTCTCCCTGGATCCTTCTCTTCTCCAGGTTGGACATTCCCAGCTCTCCCAGTCTGGAATTCCAACCCCCTGCCGTGGGCAGGGACACCTCCCACTATCTCAGCTTGTTCCAACCTGGCCTTGGACACTTCCAAGGATCCAGGGGCAGCCACAGCTTCGCTGGGAATCCTGTTCCACCACCCTCACAGGGAAGAATTCTTTCCCAATATCCCAAAATTAAATCCTAAGGATAAACCCCCAAATTCCCAAAGGATGAAGGAGCTCTTCCCACAGGGACGTACCTGTCGTTCTGATACACGTCCACGCTGCTGTTGAGCTCCTCCAGTTCCTCCTTGAGGAGCTGCAGGTTGGAGTTGACGTAGCTCAGCTCCAGGGCGACCGTCTCCTTCACCTTGTGGTTACTGGTGGCCCTGCAAGGAAAATCTCTTGGGATCAGAGAATCATAGAATGATAGAATCATAGAATCAGCTGGGTTGGAAGGGACCTCTGAGATCATCAAGTCCAACCCTTGATCCAACACCACTGCAGTTGCCAGACCATGGCACTGATGCCACATCCAGTCTCATCTTAAAAACCTCCAAGGACAGAGAATCCACCCCCTCCCTGGGCAGCCCATTCCAATGGCTGATCACTCTCTCTGGAAAGAACTTCTTCCTAATATCCAACCTAAACCTCCCCTGGCACAGTTGAAGACCGAGCCCTCTTGTCTTGCTGATTGTTGCCTGGGAAAAGAGACCAACCCCCACCTGGCTCCCACCTCTTGTCAGGGAGTTGCAGAGAGTGAGGAGGTCTCCCCCGAGCCTCCTCTTCTCCAGGTTGAACAGCCCCAGCTCCCTCAGCCTCTCCTCATGGGAATTGTGCTCCAGACCCTTCCCCAGCCTCGTTGCTCTTCTCTGCACCTGCTCCAGGACCTCAATATCCTTCCTGAACTGAGGGCCCAGAGCTGGACACAGCACTCGAGGTGTGGCCTCACCAGCGCTGAGTGCAGGGGAAGAATCACTTCCTTGGACCTGTTGGCCCCCTTTTTCTTGTTCCGGGCCGGGTTCCTTTGCCTTTTTTGCCCCCTTGGGCCCCTTTTGGTTCTTTTTCGGTTTCTTTTCCTTCCAACTTCCCGGTTCCTTTCTTGCTTGGTTGTTTTCCGGCCTTTTTTTCCCAGCCTGGAGCTGCTGGGGGTTGTTGTGGCCAAAGTGCAGGACCCGGCCCTTGGCCTTGTTGAACCTCATCCCGTTGGAATCAGCCCAACTCTCCAACCTATCCTATCCTATCAAACCTCCCTCGTTCCATCCATGGGTTTAGTTACCAAGTCTTGGTTGTGTCGATCAACAGGGATTGAGTTTTCCACCAAAATCAGGTGGGTCCATCCAAAGTTCTCCTCTAGAACGGGAAGGGCGGGAGGTTCTTCATGTTTGGGTTGGGAGGGACCTGAA